GATCTAACTGACATAACATACAACCAAAAAGACACATCTTTCTGGACCAAAAAGAATACTTAAATCTTTGTAAGCACCCTGGATAGTCCACCAAGATACCACTCTTCTTAATAGACAAATAGAAATGGAGGAAACCTAGGAGATCATCCAACATTTCCCAGGCAAGGAATCATCTTGTCCATATGGCTTTACATACTTTAATTATGAAAGTTTCTAGCGGCCACTCCTTCCACATGGTACACCTCAATGGCTTTCTGAAAGACCAACTACTCTAATCCCCCATTTTTTTTATGACCTACTCATTTATAACAAAAAAGATAAAGACAAATCGCAATGTATTAATTATTCTATAGCACTCTTAAATGCTGATCTCTCCCAACATGCTTGCTACTAGACTGTACCAAGTTCTACAACATGTAACTCTTATGTATACCCAGTGAAGTGACTGGCTTTAGGTGATACACAGAGATGAAACAAATCCTCCTACTTAAGTTGTACCTGTTAACGGAGGTATGAGGCAGCAGACAGAAATGACACAGAAAAGACAGATGACACAGAAAATGTAGTGCTCTTAATTGAGACACAAGTACACACAATAAAGGATATACTTTGTTATTATTTCATGTCTAAGGTTTGCAATGACTTTAAGATCAAGTAGGATTCTTGATGTACAGATAGACAGGAAATAACACACGAAAGACTATCATCTTCGTTGATGTCCTTACTATTACCAAAGAGGAAGAGACTATACTAAGGCAAGCCATAGTTTAATCGATTTCCTTTCCTTCCACCATGGCTGGAAGTAAAGAAAATTACTTTATTCTCCTGTCAAGACAGTCAGTGTTGATGGGGGAATGCCTCCCATAGCACTATTGTATTCTGCCTGCAGGTAGCTTTCCTGGCTGGCAGAATACAATGATTATTTCTTACAGCTATAGCAGTAATTACATACTAAATATCCAATCGGCTGGTTGCACCCAAGTTCTCTGCTGATTCAGCTGAAATTCTATCCATCTATGGCCAGTGTAGAGCCGGCCATAGATGGAATGATTTTCTTTTCTGTATCCACTGTCAGTGTTGATGGGGGGAATCCCTCCCACGGAGCCATTGTGTTCTCCCAGCGGGGAAGCGGAGGAAGTCGACCTCATCGGGAGAACACAGTGATTACTGCTAATGGCTGCTAGAATCACATGTAAAATCCAACAGGCACTTGGATACATTCAGCCTGCCCATACATGGTGCTGAACCGGCAGAGATTCAAACCATCTATGGCCAGCTTAAGTTAGGCAAGAAAAAGACATTTGATCGCCTTAATTGGCCCTTCTTCATCACATTCCTCTACATCATTAAACTACCAGGCAGCCTCATTTCTGGAATGTTCCTGGAATGTTAAATTCCCTATTCCATTTTAATGACTTAGAATTAGGTAATTGGAATAGATAAAGGATAGGAACCACTGGTCACAACAAGAGCTGCAGGAAAACTATAACCTGCCTCTTGATCTATTTTCATCTACAAATTGGCCATTTTGCACAAACTGCTGCTGACACCTTTCAAAACCCTTTGAGCCTTTATATAAGGGTTTGATGTCCCTACCCATTGACACATGTGCCTTTCAGAAACATTACGTTAAAATGGGATAGAACCCTGAGATGAGAATTGACCTATGAGGTTTGGGATAGGATGTGGACAGCAGCCCAAGAAATGTATGATATATAGACCAAAGTGGTATCATACCCCTGATTTCCTACATTTATATAACTCAACCATATAAAGCCAATGCTAGTGATGCTCCAAAAATCTTGGTGACCTCTTTCACATATTATGAATATGCTTTAGAATAAAACCTCTTAGGCCTTGGACTGAACTTTTCATTTAGAATATATTGTATAGTGCCACCTACCACCTACTTGGTATGAACCCCTTCTCAAGGAATCTGAAAATCCTCAGACAAAAGATTAATTGCTTGTAAACTAACGCAAACCCAAGGACCTACCAAACTCTAGTTACACTCTGCAACCAATGACATTACACTCAGAATATATAACTGCATGATGGGGAAATTGTATATTCTATGTTTACTTATTATTGTTGGCTCACAATATCTAATAATGAGACATTGTCACTTTAGCTGACTTATACCAGATGAATGTTACTGCAAGCTGACTGAGTTCTTAAAAGGTCATAAGGTTGCTTGCAGTGGGGTTTGTCCATTGCTTACATACAAGTCCAGTATATAACACACAGCTAGGCTGGAAATAATTGTCTCACCTCAAAACTGATATCAGGCATGTGTTTGATCCTGACCCACGAGGCCATGCCATATAATGGGAGGGACCCATTGTAGGAAACAGCATCTTTAGTTAAAGCGGAAGCTCCGCTTATTTGTTTCCTCCCCCTTTGGCACCTTTTGGGGGGGAGGGGGGGAACGAATACCTGTTTTTGACAGGTACCCACTCCCACTTCCAGCTCAGTTTGCTATGGCGAAGTGAACCGGAAGTTGAGCCCCCCTCCTCCTTCACGCAGTCTCCTGGGAACTTTCACAGGTCCCAGAAGACTGCCAGACCAATTAGGAAGCGCAGCATGACTCGCGCATGCGCAGTGGGCACCAGGCTGTGAAGCTGCAAGCTGATTTGGAATCCAAACACTTCTCACAGCAGCCTTTGTGATTGGAAACAAATTATAACAGAAGTCACACCTTTGCCCCATAGTGGTCAACCCCATCCAAGTGGTCCCCAGTTGCTGAAGAAAGTATGCCACATACCTGATTATATTATTTGGATTGTTAGACTGCACAAAAATATTTACTACTCTAAATAATAGTGTATAGTACAACTTAGACTACAGTAATACTTGTCACAAATGGACAGATGTCCAAAGCCTGGGACTGTCCCTGACAGGGACAATTGGCAGCTATTAGAGAAAGTTAAACTCTTGTTATATCACCCCTGCTATAGTGCAAGTACAGAAAACTACCCTACCATGTGGGAGAATTATTGATCAATATAAAAATGTTATGGTGGATCTATAGCATATCCTGGATAAAATCCTTCCTGAATATAATGTACCTGAAAGTGGAGTTCCCCCATTTTTGTGTTTATTAAAAGTCAGCAGCTACAATTTTTGTAGCTGCTGACTTTTAATAAACACAAAAATGGTTTGAACTCCGCTTTAAGTATTATTATTATATTTTCTAATATTATTGTCATCTGTATCTGTCATTACTTTTATTAAATGTTATACTTATAAGTATTTGTGTGATCTCTCTTTGCACATATCGACTCCAAAAACATACGGTACCAGAAGTGGGGTATTAATAAATGTCCTTCCTAGAAATCAACGAATAGTTAGCAACAAAACACATTTTTACACAAAACATAAAATATATGGCCATTATATTGTTGATTCATGATTGCACTCTCTATTACCCATATTTACTGAGCTCATATCAATTAATTATTCATTTTGTAAAGCGCTGAGAAAACTGTTGGCGCTATATAACTCCTGTATATATTAATAATATAATAATAATTAATTTTTACCACATTTTCATTAAAGGACACCCATCAAAAGTTATCAATAATTCACCATGGTTGAGATGATATTCACAGGCTCATCACATTTGTGCACAGACATTATACATCACCATCCTTATTGATTTCTCCATGTCAACCTCTTGTTCAGTCCCATACAGATCTTGGAAACTTCTAGGAACAGATCCGGTTCCTTCTGTCTTAACCAAAAATAGTTAAAAACAATTAGTGAAGTTTAAAGTATCAAACTTCATTACAAACCCCAATAAGGACAATACAAAAATATATATGTGCATACTGTATCTAGTGATCACTCACCATTGTCCTAGCTTAAGCAGTTACTCTCAGCTTGGTCATAAATTGAACATGTCCTGTAGACCTTTACTAGCTGACCAACTTGTGCAAATGGTTGCCATTAAACACACCCAGTTTTATCGGTGGGTGGAGCCTTCTTCCTTTTTCCACGGACAGTAGACTGGAATGGAGAGCTAAACATTTAAATAATTAGAATAATCATGGCTACTGTTCAGGAATTTAAAGGGTGTTGACCTGATTCAGCCATTTCCTTTTTTTTTATTTCAAATAATCCAAGAGCTACATCATAAAAAACTAACAATTTCAACTAGGATTTAATTTCTGAAAATGTATTTAAATATTTTGTTTACCTTACAAAACTTCTCACATCACCTACATTTAAACATACACATTTCTCAATTGGTCAAAAATCCACACATTATCCTGTATTTCATAGATACAGGAGAGAGGGGGGGAATCTGGAAAGTCCATCTCTCTCCTTTTCTCCTTCATGCAAGACATGCAAGGGAGGGATCATCCACACACAGGCACAGACTGAAGCCATCACTGCTACAAATTGATTTCTCATTCTCACTTTTCTCATAACTTTCGCCTTAGTTTCATTTAATGAGATATGCTGCATGACTGCACAATACACAAGACAAGTTTGAGCAGGCCTGGGGTCATTGTAAGAGTCTGAAAACAACATAGGCTGCCTTAATTTTATGAATTCACTTGTAATCCTTGGCCTGACTTTCTTCGAACCCGTATTTTAACTCCCGTGGCATCTGTTGGGGTGTGGCTATTCCACCACTGCACTTTTTGCTTTCATCCCACTCCCATATCTCTTTTTGATGCCCTATGATGGACTAGTATGGCAGCCTTCCCCCTCCATCCGCAACCCTCTTCCTTTTTTTTTTTTATTTCCTTTCTTCACCCTGGCTAATAATTTGCATTGACTGATACTACTCACAGATACCTTTCCTATGGTGAAAAGACACAACTGAAAACTTTTATTTGAAATGTTGATTACAGCACTTACTAGCCACCTCAATGATGGCAATGACGGGCACAAGGCGGTTCTCTCGTTCTGGGAGGACATCATATGACGTCCTCCCATTCTAACCGTGCATGCCGATCAGTGTGCCCTGATGATCAGTGTAGCCCCAGCAGTGCTACCTGTCAGTGTCCATCAATGCCACCTGCCAGTGCCACATCAATGCCACATATCAGTGCCTACCAGCGCACATCAATGCCACATATCAGTGCTCATCTGAGCTGCCTTTCAGTGTCACCTATCAGTACCAGCCAGTGCCACCTATCAATGCCAGCCAGTGCCACCTATCAGTGCTGCCAATCAGTGCCAACTATCAGTGTGCATTAGTGCCGCCTATTAGTGCCCATCAGTGCTGCCTATCAGTGCCACCTAACAGTGCCAGTCAGTGCCTCCTATCAGTGCCAGTCAGTACCGCCTATCAGTGCCATATAGGAGTGCTACCTTTCAGTGCCCATCAGTGATGCCTGTCAATGCCCATCAGTGCCACTTACCAGTGCCTCCTCATCTGTGCCAATCAGTGCCCATCACTGCCACCTATCAGTGCCCATCACTGCAGCCTCATTAGCGCATATCAGTGAAGGAGAAAAATCACTTATTTACAAAATTTTAAAACAAAAACTAAAGAAAAAACTTTTTTTTTTCAAAATTTTCAGTTGTTTTTGGTTTGTTTAGCAAAAAAATAAAAACCCAGGAGGTGATTAAATACCACCAAAAGAAAGCTCTATCTAAAAAAAAATATGATAAAAAGTTCATATGGGTACAGTATTGCATGACCCGCGTCATTCAAAGTGCGACAGCACTGAAAGCTGAAAATTGGCCTGGGCAGGAAGGAGGTATAAGTGCCCAGTAGGCTAGTGGTTAAAGTGTTACTAAACACACAACAGTGAAATCAGTCTGTATATGCAGTAAATCATACTTGTTATACTCATGGTGGAACCTAAGGGGTTAATTCTCCACATTGTGTAAAAAGGATGTTTGAATCTCTTTTCTCTGATCCTCCCCTTCTTCTGTTGTCCCCTAAATACCTCCTGATAGAATAGAGGTTTGGAGTCACTCTGCATATGCTCAGTTTAGTGTGTATTGCTAGAGAGGTTTTTTTTTTATTGGGAGAGTGCATGTGATCAGCACAGGGCCAATCAGAACTGTCCATACAGAGGTCAGGGGTCCTGCATCCTCCTAGAGGAGAATGAAAACTCCTCCTACACGCTTTAACCAGTGTTGTGCTGACATCACAAGACTGCTATAACTGCTGATGACAAAAGGTATTTAGCAGTTTATATTTACTAAACTAATTGCATTTCCATGTTGTGTGTACTGTGGGAGACCAGATATAGTGAATGCAGGGGCCTGAGTTTAGTAACACTTTAATACACCAGCAGTTTATTGTTGCAATACAAAGGCAAAATCGCAACTGTAGATACGACCTGTGGCTTCAAATACCATTATCAATTTTTCATGCGATAGCTGAAACTTCTCCATTTAGATTACATCATTTGTCTGAATCATCAATCATCAATAAAACCACAATTAAAATAGAAGTGCCAATTTCCTGCCTGAGCTCAATGCTAACAAGAGATAGTCAAAGAACCCTTACTATAAAAATGGTGATGTCAAGATCACATAAAAGAAAACTAAGCTAGACTAAAACTAGACTTTTTGAAGGTACAGTATATGTAAACCAGATCACTAAAACCTCCTAAGCTTTTACATGTTTTGCATGCATAAAATGTTGTGCTTAAAATAATGCTGCCATAAATGTCTGTGTTCAGGTACTTTCTGATGGACAACAAGACTCTGTTCCTGTCTCCCAAGGCTCCTGCACTGTTACCCTCTAGGTGGCCATGTCATCATACATTACAAAAGCATGGTCCACTGTCATCAAAATAAAGTAACCCAACCGTAAAAATTCCATGCAGCTATTGCTGGAGTGCATGTGCAACTGTAGCACTAGCCCCATAGGAGCTGTTGGTATATGGTGGGTTCTCCTGCTACTCCCAGTGGTAACCCGCCCTGTAACTGGACATGGCAACACGACAACACACCAACGGTACTATCTGTGCTTTATTTAAAGCAGCAATATGCCATGAGAAAATTGGTTTATTGATCAATAGTTCATGCAGCAGTTCAATAATGACGTAAATGGACTGGTGTTTGTGTTAAGAGATGATACGTGCATAGCGTGCGTCCACATGGAAGAAAAAATATTATTGAAATACATTTTAAAAATATTCTTCCCAAATATACTACATATACTACAATTTTGGCCATATTCAATATATTTCAAAATATATTTCTATATATATATATATATACAGTCAGGTCCATAAATATTGGGACATCGACACAATTCTAACATTTTTGGCTCTATATGCAAACTGTTGTAATTCCTACACCGTTCACCTGATTTGGATGTAAATACGCTCAAATTAAATCTGACAGTCTGCAGTTAAAGCACATCTTGTTCGCTTCATTTCAAATCCATTGTGGTGGTGTATAGAGCCAAAAATGTTAGAATTGTGTCAATGTCCCAATATTTATGGACCTGGCTGTATATATATATATATATATATATATATATACTACATGTTGAAATGCATTTTTATTACAAAACATACGAAAAATATTTTGAAAAATACATTTCAAATATGCTGTATGTCTTTAAAAATACAAATCTACATTTTTGGAATGCATTTACATATATAGATGTAAAAATATATGTTAAAATGACTTTTTTATATGTTAAAAAAAATCTGAAAAATATATCTAAAAAATATATATTTTTTAAAATATTTCTAATATATTTTGAAATAAAAATGCATTTCAACATGCAGTATATATATAAGTGGGCTTTTTATTCACTTTTGGGTGCAGGTGGAATAATGTCCTGCAGTACATTTCAGTTCCTGCCTGCATGGTGGATTGATATAGAAGGGCGCAGTGACTTAGTTGTTGGGAAATGAGGTGCAGGATATTACTCCAACTGCACCCGAAAGTGATTAGATAGTCCGCTTTTTGCCTGGTTAGTCACACCTGTCCAATCGTACAAACAATGGCGTCATTTTGTCAGAAAGGTAAGATGTGTGTGGCAGCCTTGTTTTCTGTCAGGAAAGGTGGAAGGATGGACATGCCGTTCATATTCTGCAACCTGGGATATCTTTCTCTCTTCCTCCCTCTCTCTCTTGCCCAATTATTGTGTTGCCTAGGGCAGCACAAAAACAAAATACACCACTGGTTGGAAGGCAGAAGTTTGTTTGCTCCCTATTGGCAGCTGCTGCACTGATTATATATATTTTCTGTGGCACAGTTCATGGGTTTTTCAATGAACTATCCCTTTAACCACCTCCCGTCTGACCATTGTATATAAACGGCCGGACGGTGGCAGTGCAGAGCCGGGTGGCCATTTATAAACGGCCTCCCTGCACCCTGCTTGTGCCCGCTCCCTGGGAGCGTGCAGCACCACAATCCGGTGCCCGCTGTGTCCTCCGGAGACAGTGCAACACCGATCGTCGGACGGGACCTCTGTGCGAGGTCACGATCATGTGATCACTGATTGGCCAATCAGTGATCACATGTAGAGTAGTAAGCAAGATGTCACTTGTGACATCATTGCTTACTACGTGTGAAATCTGTGAATGATCACAGAGGTCACATGGTACAAGGCTATTGGGTGAAAAAAAACTAAAAAAAAAAAAAAAAAATAATAATATAAAAAAATAAAAAAAAAGGAAAAAAAAATGTTTAAAAATTATAATTTTGGTTATAAACTAATTTGGGTTATTTAATTTTTTTACTTAACGGAATAAATTTTGGCCAAGATTTATGATGAAATACTATTTATTTGCAAAATTTTATAAGAAAAACACTTTTTTTTCAAAAATTTTGGACTTTTTAATTTACATAGCAAAAGAAATAAAAATCCCAGTGGTGAATAAATACCACTAAAATAAAGCTTTATCTGCCTCAAACAAATGCTAAAAAATTAATATGGGTACAGTGTTGCATGACCGCGCAATTGTCATTCAAAGTGTGATAGCACTGAAAGCTGAAAATTGGCTTGGACAGGAAGGGGGTAAAAGTGTCCTGGACGGGAAGTGGTTAAGCGTTATATAACCGTTGCTATTGATTACATCCCAGTATATCCACCGATGCGGGAATATTTGATAAAGTTCTCTAAAATAAAGTTTAAATCCCTATAAAAACTGATATCTAGGGCTTAAAACACTTCCCACATCTTTCACATTCTCTCTCCTGGCACAGAAAAGTGCCAGTTTGTGCCCTTAACATGTCCTGGCTTGACTGCTGCAACAACCTCCTCTGGGGTCAGGATAGCAATAAATGCTGCCAGCAACTGAAATGGCACCATTATTAATTATCGTGAGTTCTGCTGCTTGACTCATTCTCCTCTCACTCCTCAAATACTGCTACCTTCTGTCATTCAATCCGCTGGTTGCCAGCTATACAGCGAAGATCATTTCATAACATTGACTCAAACCTCCAACCTGGCACCTTCTTACATCTCCTGACTAATTCCTATGTGTTCCTCTTTGCACAACCTACTCTACTCTAGTAATGTCCTCACACCCTCGCTTTCTAGACAGGGCCGGATCTAGCCTGTCTGATCTGGGGGTGCAGTTAAAAAAAAATCCTGTCAACACACCTTCGTTATACGCTCATCAGCTAGCGTTCCCTGTTTTTCTGTCTTTCCAGTTTCTCCCCACACTGTATGTGTGCGAGTGTGACAGAGATACAGGCAATCAGTATTTTCTGTTCCCTTAGTGTGCTGCTCTACCACCAGTTATGACTTGGAAGTAATACCTGACCAGGGGCAGACTGACAACTCATGGGGCCCCTGGGCAATAAGAGATAATGGGGCCCCCTGTGTATCCACCTACACTCAAGCCAAAGCCACACACCCACAACACTCCACCTACATATTGAAGCTCAGCTGTATAGAAAGGGCATTACAAATAATAAAAAAAAATAATAAAACAACGTTGTGAGGTCCCCCCTCCCATTCATACCAAGCCCTTCAAGTCTGCTTAGGGTTTTGAGGGGAACCCCCATGCCAAAATATTTTAAAAAATGGCGTGGGGTCCCCCCAAAATAAAAGATGATCCTCCTGCGCTTAAAATGGAGCCCTATCCCTAAAGCTGCTGACACTAACCTTATACCCAATAAGTGAAGTGACTCATAAAAACAAAGTGTAGTGCTAAATAAATACTAAATAAATATAAATAGTGACACACTCAATCCCCATAAATACACATAAAAGGGATACACAAAATATTGTGCAACACGTGAATTCCCTCAGTGGGAATATAACAAGTGCAAGTGATATATATTGTCATATAATACAATAGTGAAGCACACAAAAATCAATTGAAATATATCATAAAACATAAAGCATCATAAGTAAGTCCACAAACGGTGTATATATACAATTTATATATCCAATAATAGTGCTCCAACTCGACTCTCATGCAAGTGACTGTGTACAGTTGCAAGAAAAAGTATGTGAACCCCTTGGGATTACATGGAGTTTTGCATGAATTGGGCATAAAATGTGCTCTGAACGTCA